CCTGCAGGTTGGTGGGTAATTCCCTGACTTTTCCTCTCTCGGGTGACTTTGGCAAGGATCCATTTCATGAGCCCTGAAGGACAGAATTCTTCTCCTGAAGTGTTAATTTCCTCAATCAAGATGGGCTCTAGTAGGAATTGGCTCTCTTTTGCCAGTGCTCTCTGCTTTAGATGGGTAAGAGCATGAGATGTGAGAGGAGGACAGTAAATTACTTTCCTGGAACCCAGGGGAATATGGAGTGACCTCAGGCATCTCCTCCCAGAGCCCTCTGGGAAATGGCTGCAGCTGCCATTTTAGTTTCCCACAGACAGCATTATGTGTCTTTTCTTTTTAACAGCTTCAAGAAGTAAAGGCAAATTTATCTTCTTTATGACCATGCCAGGTTCTACACTTTGCTAAGCCCTGAAGGTTTCCTTAGGTCTTAAAACAAGCATCAGGGGTTTTAATTCTATTTTAAAAAAGAGGAAAGAACTGGGTGTTCCAAAAGCAGACCACATGGTTGCCACTTAAAAGTACAAGTTTATAGCAAATGGCTGAAACTTTCTAGTAATGCTGAAATTATTTTGTATCAGTGTACTATTTCCAAATATTTTTCAGGATTCATTTGGGAATGATTAAGCTAATGTTACATCTTTTCAGCCTTATGAAAAAGATGCCTTTCAGTCGGACAGAGATTTCAGCATATCGCTAAGGAAATGAAACCAGCTGGGCCCTCTTCCCTTTCCTGGCACATAGAGGAAATGGGCCTCTGTTATCGGGGCACCTGAGGACACTCGGGGTGTCTGCTGTGTACGTAAAAGAATGAAGAGCATGCAGCCTCCAGTGCTCCCCGCGGTGTCTAGAACCAGCGTTTAGGCAGAGGAATAACACGAATGAAGTGCAAAGTACTGGTCAGGGCTGTCTGGGAGCAGGTCAAGACAGGAATCTGCATGCTGCAGCTGGCCAGCAGCTGACCGGGTGTTAGGAGGACAGCATGCCCAGCGCGCCCAGCGCCAGGAACCCCTGGCTGCAGTGGGCAACCCCATGCTGACAGAGAAGTGTTTTGCACGCTGGACATATTCCTGTGAGTGCTAGCCAAAGCCACTGATACTAGATGGAGACAGACAGCCCATGCAAGGTGGGACAGAAGAGGGGCCAGATGAAAGCAGACGCAAATGGAAGAGGAGCTGTGAGTCTCTGGGTTGCTGCCTTCTTTGGTTCAGGAGGGAAGGTGCAGGGCTGGAGAGGGAGCCTGGGGTTCTGGAAGACGCACAGACACTGCTCTTATTGGCTTCTGTACTACAAGTCCAATGAGTATGGCGTCACTCAAATCCCTGCTATGCTGCTACCTCTCTACCTCCCATTTCAATGAACACATCTTTATCCCTTCAGGTGTTCTGGCCCCAAGCCTGGGAGTCATTAGTGGTTCCTCCTTTTTTCTTATGCCTGACATCAAAGCCATCAGTTAGCCTTCCCTCCAAAACATAACTGGGCACTTTTCTCCCCTTCTACTCATTACCTAATTCAAGCCACTGTCCCCCCCTCTTACATTTCTGCAGAACCTTCAGTGGTGCCTACCTCTGCCCTTGGCCATCCAGTGACCTTGTCACTCCAGCATGAAGAGGGCTGTGAGCACCAAGCAGGTACATCAGGACGCTGTCTGAGCCTTTAGGCACCTTCTGGCCAAACCTCAAGTCCAGGGTTGCTCACTGACCTTGGAGGCCTCTGGGGTGGGTCTTGCTTACCCCTGCACCCTGCCTTCCTCATGGTTCCAATTCACCTGGGTTAGTCTGCTTGCTGCATCTCCACATCACACTCTTTCCTGCTCCCAGATCTGGATCTTCCTTCCCTGGTATTTTCACACCATACTTGTTCACTTCCCGTTAGAGTCCTTCCATGACTGGTGCTATGTAGAGTGCTCTCTCCTGCAGCACTCACTGGCTCCTGAATTACCCTGATTCAGCACTCTCTGCAGTTATATATTTCTCTCTTTCATCACAGGTAAATTTACTCTTGGCTCTTGTTTTCTGTGTATGTCTCCAAGCCTCAATGGGTAATGTGTCTTCATTTATTCATTCATCAGTATTTCTTGAGCATCTACCTTTTGACGTATACCATACTAGTTGAGACACTAGGGAACCCATTGGATACCCCCTCATTCCCAGATTTCCTGGCATTCCAGAGGAAGAAACAAGCATCCATCGTAATTATAGGGGTAAATTTGTGATCATAAACAGTGATAAATGCTTTAAAGGGAAAGCATAGAAAGGATAAGAAACTGCATAACAACAATTTCACTTATGTGGAAAATTAAGGAAGGTTTCCCAAGTAAAGGATGCCCACCAATTTCAATTTGCACTCAGTGTGTGAAGCCATCTTCAGTTTTGGTTCATATACCATTTGGCCAAAGTCCAGCCATCCAGAAGTTTCTTGATGCTTTCTCTCCATTTCTTGGAAGGTTTTGCCATCTGCTTGTCATGGGTGTAAAAGACAGAGCTTTAGGTTAGGCATCACCACATATAGGAGTCCTGCTTCTGACACTTACAGACCTGTATGGCCCCAAGCAAACATTGAAACTCTGATATTTAATTTCCTTAGTTATAAATGAACAAATCTGACATCCATCATCATGGATTTATAACTCTGACTTTTGTTGAGTTGCTTGATCACCTCTTTTGTGAGCCTTACACGAATTAGATGTTTGAATACCCACTACTCAGATGTACCTGTGTACTTTCCTTTCCCTGTCTCTCTCTTAGGCCTCACGTCCCTAACCACCTATAATGTTCTAGACATGGATGCACTAGCCTCATACCAAGAAAGCACAGCATTTTCTGTGAGTTTCTAGATGAACTCCAGATAACACCCAGCCTTCTCTTGATATCAACACAAGGGGACAGTGAGACTTGTGGGTCCTAGGTTTTTATTCAACACAGGTTGGAGCATTGATTGAAAGAAAGCTGGTGTAGAATTTATAAAATGCTTTTCTTGAAGATATAAATAGGTGCTCTTCCCTGTCATTCTTGGTGAAACTGAGAAATTTCTTTTCTATATTGTACATCTTAATGTCTTTCTCCCTAAGACTTGTGTTTCCTCAAAGGGTCTGGTGGTCCTACTAGCTTGCCTAGTACCCCAGAAACTGGCAGTGATTCTGTGCTTACTCTGTGATGGCCACTGCTCTGCATGTTTTCCCTTAGCCCAGCTCCAAATACTGGTGGTTGCATCCATTTTTGAGAGAAAAATTGTGGCCCACAGACAGGAAGGCAGTTGCCCAAGTTTGCACGGGCAGCAGTGACTTGTCCAGCTGGTGCTGAAACCCCAGGGGTCTGGTTCCGGAGCTTATCCTAAGCTTGTACCCAGCCTCCCACTAGCTGTGAATGTAGCAATGTGCGTGCAAAACCACTCTGCCCCGAAAGAAATTGCAATTTTAGAATTTCAGGTGAGGTGCAGATAAGAGACACGGAGGATGACTGAGGGTGAAAACGGGGTCATTCGCAAAACAGCCCTAAATAACTCATGTGTGGGGTGCAAGTGTAAGTGACATCAGGAGGGTCCGGCTGGTTGTAGCATGACCTGCTCCAACATTCATATCTTGGCCTCTCTGAACGTGGTGATCACACAGCCAGAGGAAGACCAAAACTTGACTTTGGTAGACTAACCGGTGTGTGTCTGCTGTGGGTTGTGCGGTGGCCTCACGGCCCATGCTCTGGGGACATGGAATGCGTGATCCTGCCCTGGGCCTGTCCAGCAGGTGACTGGGCCTCAGCCAGCAGAAATAAAGACAAAGCCACTGAGACTCTGCACGTCCCCTCATCTGTGGGATACCAGGTAGGTACTGTCACGTGGATTTTACACACGAGGACACAGAAGTTCACAGAGACTCAAGCAATGACTTCGGAGCCACACGTCCAGCAAGTGGCAGAGCTTGGATTTAAACTCAGGTCAGCTTGACTCCTAAACCAATTCGTTTGCTGAGTCACTGCACAGTCTGAGTCACTGAAGCCCTCTTTCTCAAAGGCAAACTGCTCTGGCAATTGTGAATTTCGGAAGATTAACTCATGACCAGTCCCTTGTTTATTTTATTGGCCTAATGTGCATCCAGTTGTGTCATAAAGAATTTGAACATGCAAAGGCTTTTGAAAACAATAAGAAGAAAAAGTTCTCCAGCCCCCGCTTATACTTGGCAGCCTCACTGCTGGTTTGAAGCAGGATATGAGGGAAAAACATACATAATTAGCATCCACTCGGCCATAGCCTCTCAAGCCACGGTTTCTTGCCCTGGTATTAATCAGTGGACTTTTATCCCTAGCCAATGGTCACCCCCCTAAGGGTCCCAGCCCGTCTCCTCCACTCAGCCCCCAGACTGAGACCCATGGTACAGCCACACATGCTGTCAGGTAGAACCCTGGCCCCAGTGCCTCACTCCACAGCAAAGGGAGGCGAGTGTTTGGAATGGCAGCTTTTCCCAACCCCTGGGGAATCCAAATCCAGACAGACACCCAGAAAGCAGCCAAGCATTCTCTGTCGGAAGGTTCCAGCAGGCGGCCTCTCAGTGCGGTAATTCTCATGCACCATGCCGGACTCTGGCCAAACCAGGGCTTCCTAGCTACAGACGGAGCCGACAGTCTCTGTCTGGGTGTGCGCCGAGGATGAGTTCCCTAGAGAGCCATACGCGAAGTGCTCGGGGTCACGGAGGAGGGGCCCCTTCTGTACCTGCTGTGGAAAGGGGTAGGCATCATCGGGGGAGATTTCACAGAAGAAATAACCTTGGATTGGAGCCTTGAAGGGTAAGAGTGGTTTCACCAATGATCTTGTATCTGGAGACGCACACTGCCCTTCCCCCTGGCCTCCCTGGTCTGCTTGTGCCATCTAACTCACCCGCAGAGCCATGGTGCGGTCTTTGCGAAAGAGCTCACACTGTGTCCTCTCTCCCAGCCCTCCACTGGCCTCCAAGCAAGGCCCGCATTGCTCAGTCTCCAAGACCTTGCGTGACCCCTCTCCTGGCTACCTCCCTCTCCGTTTCACTCCACTCTGTCCTCCCCCTGTTCCCGTTCCTACATCCCAGCTACTCTGGCTTTCCTCGGGCTTATGTGTGTGTTCTTTCAGGATATCACATTTATATCAAAATAATCCTTAGGCCTTCAAAATATTTATTGTTGAGAAAGAATCCAGCACCATAACATTAAATGCATCTTACAATTAAAATTAAATGCAAGAATGTCTTTGAGCTTCCTAGCTCAGGGCCTTTGCAATTGTTTTTCCTGTGCTTGAACTACCTGCTCCCAGATCTCTGCAAAGACATGGTTTTCTCTTCCTTAGGATTGAGAAGGGTCTACCATTGAAAGGTCTTCCCCATTGTCTTAGCTAAGCCAGCGCTGCCCAGCGGCCTCAGACACATATACACAAACGTCTCTACTCTATTGTCGCGCTCTTCACTTAGTACCACAGCCAGTTTACTTCTGCTTTCTACACCCACTGGTCTTTACAATTAGAATGTAAGCTCTCTGAAGCCAGGGACTCTATTTCTCTTTGCTATTTTCCCAGAAACTAGAATGGTGTTTGGCAAATAACAAATGATCGCATAGAGACGGGAGCTGAGAATACAAGTTCAGCTTTGATTCTCTAGTTGCATAATACACTAGTTTTGTGGGTGGCAAAAGGTTTAGGGAGGTAAGTGCTAAAAACAAGCAAACTTCTGCCACAAGCTCTTGAGCTGCTCTTGGTTCGGGCAACAGAGCTCACTGGCACATACAGGGGTCCTGGGAATGTGTGTGTCCCCGTGTGGATCAGTGATAACTCTCAGAGTAAATCTTGGCTTTTTGATTCTGTTTTCGTGAAAGTGCCTTGATTTTAGCAGCCAACTTCCCAGCCTTCCTGTAAAACATTTTAGAACATGGTTATTATGTATTTAGTGAACTGTCAACATGTAAATTGATGTTGTCATAGATTTTCAACCATCGGTCCCTATGAAGCAGTAAAAGCCGTGTTCATGGCTGAGCTGTCAGAAAGGCCAACTAATACTCTGTTGTGTGCCTCGTAAACCTTAAAAAGCCTTTCACCAGCTCTAAATGTGACCTTACGGTCTTTTAACACTCCTATATAATCTCCAAAGAAATCATAAACTTGGCGAGCTTCCGTTCCATACGCTAGGGTAATCATAGAGGTTTCCACTAGCCCTGGTCCATAAAAGGATCCTGGAACTTTTCACGTGGCCCTTATATCCCAAGCACAATTAGTGTAGTGCTGTCTAGTGACTGCCCAAGTCAGGGCAGGGGGGTTTGATACCTTCAGACCCAGGGAAAAGAGAAACAACCTGGACTCGGACTCTGATTTGAAGATATCTTCCCAATGTGTATTTTCAGTATTTCCCACAGCTTGGAGTTGGAAAGGAAATAACAGATAAAGCAGTTCACAAGAAGATTAAATTATTAAGCTATATAAAGTGATTCACAGAAGGTTCTCTAAATTCTCAATTGGTGGTGAATAATGATGATTGTATTATATTTATATCATGCCACTTAATTCATGGTGTTAAAATCTGACTTTGTGTCTGACTCCTGGCAGACAGAAAACTAAAGTCTAGGGGATTCATTTTTGCAGCAGTAGAAATTAGCAAATTGTCTAAAAATATATTAGTTACTCAAATGATGCTTGGTTTGACCTGGTTTAGAGGACCGAGCATTGACGTCTGTGTCCCACTCTATTGCTGATTAGTCGTAAAGCATAGGGTAACCCTGTTTAACCTTAGTAGGCCTCACTGTTCTCATCCGTAAAACAAAGCATTTGGATTTTGTGGTCGCTAAGGCCTCTTCCAGTCCTAACAGTCCATGGTTCTTCTAATGCAGTGCTGTTGAGTAAAAGAGAATTATTAGGAAATACTGGAGCCAAAGTCCATTTCCCTTTGCCCATCCTGACTATATCCTCCTTAAAGATGAATTATCCAAATGGTTTCCAAGCACTCCAACTGATTGTCCCATTATTGAGATTCCACATCAAATTTCCAGAGTTTATTCTAACCAAGGAAACATGGCAGAAGGTGAAGATGGATATGAACCAAGTACGGCCCTGGTTGCTGTCATGTTCTGCTTTCTAACGACCTATGTGTGAGTCATCTAGCAAACAGTTACTTAAGGGTTTAATTTAAAAATGGTTTAGTTCATTTCATCAGATGATCACTGCCTGCCTACTCTGTGCCAGATACTGATTTGATTATTCAGCCATAAATAAATGGGAAGAACCAGTTCTGTAACAACTACAGAACATTACCTGTAAGACTGATACTTATTCAAAGCTAAATTGAATTTTCTTTAGTCCAGATAAAAGTAATTATATGGAGCAATCCAAGGCCGTTTTAATCTATTCTGTACTGCTATAACAGAATGCCCGAGTCTGGGTAATTTAGGATGAACAGAAATGTATTGTTTGGTCCCCGAGGCTGGGACATCTAAGATCAAGGGCCCCGCATCTGATGAAGGTCCTCTTTCTGGGTTGTTGATGACAGAGGGCAGAAGGGAAAGAGAGAGAGAGATGGAGAAACAGAGTGAAAGAGAGAGAGGGAGGGAGGGAAGGAGAGAGGAGGGGAGAGAAGAGAGGAAGGAAAGCGGGAAGGGAAGGAGGAGTAAATGGGGCCCAACTCCGCCTTCGTAAGGACTCCACTCCCATGAGGAGAACTCACTGCCCACAGCAGCCTCAATCCATTCTCCCTCCCTCCTGCCTCCACCTCCTAATGCTGGTGCAGTGGAGACGGAGTTCCCAAGGCGGGCTTTCTGGAGAACACATTCAAACCAAGTCAGTTAGGTCCTAAAACAAGTGAAGTATAGGAAGTACCTGTGTCCTGGGTTCCAGAGGAAATCTGCATGAGTTGTTCCCACAGAGGCTGAAACTCAGTGAGTGTCACTCGCTCTCTTCATCCCATTCACATCGATGCCCAGAAGTCATTTTATGTTGCTCTGTCCTTCACTCCTAAGTTTCAAGCCTGCATCATGAATATTGCTGGGATTTAGCCACTTCTTACAGTTCAGCCTAAAATAAGCTGTGAACACTTGTCACCTCTCTCTTTGCACTCACCTCTGCTTCTTCCCTGCCTCTGTCCATCTGCTCTCCACACTGACGCTAGAGTGAATTTTCTTAAGTTTAGTTTTGATGGTATCTATTTACACTGCTTAAACCAGAAATGGTAAGGAGAGGGAAGCATCTAGAACCATTTATAAATGTAACAACCAGCAATTAGTGATTAAATGCACCTAAGATGGGGTAGTAAAACTTACAAAGAAGGAATCCAGGGTGACTTACATAACACAAGTGGTGGTGCTATTGACCCAAAGAAAAAGAGTGCAGGAGGAGGAGGGTCCATGGGGAGATGATGCAGTGGATTCTAGGGCTCACTGGTCAGGGCCTCTCACTGCCCCAGTTGCTGGGAAGGTGGCCATGCATGGCTCATAACAGAGACCCCCCGGGAGTGGCCATCAGTCAGTGAACTGACACCTCTCCTTCAACTCACCCCTACATCTGCCTGAGAGTTCCTGTAACCAGGTGATGCAGTGAGGAAATGTCAAACGAGACCTATGGATGGGTCAGCTCAGTACCCACGTTCAAGGCAGAAACGGCAGCTGCTGCGTTACAGTTCCACTCCAAGAGGGCCCTGAAAGACAGTGGTGAGAGGAAGTCTTCTCAAGGGGCAGATCTTCAGACTGTGCATCCCATCACTTGTGGGTGTGAAGAGAGAAGTGGCTTTGACTCCATGTCACTTGCCGGAAGATGGATGGGTCTCAAACCCATAATGTTAAGGGAGATGAGTCAGACACAGAAAGTGAAATATCACATCGGTTTCTTTGATATGAGAACAGAAAAAATAAATTCAAGAGTAAAATAAAGGCGAGGTAGTAGAAAAAGGGGAGTCAGACATTTTGGAGATGAAGAAGGAGACTGGGGAAGGGGGAACGTGGGGAGAGGACATTGGAAATGATGGAGATGTGACACACATGTGGACCTGTTCCCCAAAACGTATGTAAGTATTAGGTATGGCAAACGTGTACCAGAAAGAGCAAAGAAAAAAAAGAATATGAACCCAATGTTCCAATTTCAAGAAAAGTAGGAACCTAGATTCTTAAGTGAAGACTTCCGATTTCTAAATGATGTTATCCAAACCAAAGCTTGTTTTTAAAGTAATGAGGCTCAATATAGTACTGGTCAAACAGATACAGTTGTCAGTTTGCAAATCTTGATGTTCAATATTGCTATCCGGAAGTTATATAAGAAGAAGAAACTGAGTGGGAAGCAGCTAAAAGACTGATAGAAGGCTACAACAGTGAGGGTTTGAGAGAGAGAGAGAGAGAGAGAGAATGAATGAGTGAATTGTGGGCTGAAGAGTCCAGTCTGTGGTCCAGGCCAGTGGGCTAAAAACTCAAGCAGGAGTTGATGTTGCAGTCTTGCGTCTGAATTCTACAAGGCAGCAAAATAGAAAGAAAGGCAGGATTTCTATGATCAAGCTTTGAGGACCATTGGTACTTTTTTGGAAAGACTCAATCTTAAGGCCTTCAACTACTTGGATGAGGCCCAGCCTCCTTAGGGAGTGTAATCTCTTTGACTTAAAGTCAACTAATTAAAATGTTAGTCATAGTTTTAAAATACTTTGAAATCAATGTTTATACTAGTGGAATGGTTTTGCTTTGTTTTATTTTGTGTTTTGGTCCTAAAGGTTGAGCCCAGGACCTTCAGGACACTTAACCTAGAACACTTAACTACATTCCCAGCACTTTTTTACTTTTTATTTTGAGACAGGGTCTCACTAAGTTGTCCAGGCTGTGTTCAAACTTGCAATCCTCCTGCCTCAGCCTCCCAGAGCACTGGGATTACAGATGTGTGTGTGCCATCACTCCCAGCTAGATGATGTTTAAGCAAACAACTGAACATGGCAGCCTGGCCAAACTAGTCTATAAAATTAACCACCAGGGCCAACAGAGCTTTAATTTAGAAGGAGACAAGTTAGAGCATGCTACACTCTAAGGAAAAGCCAGTAGGAGTAAGGAGGACAAGAAGGAGCCAGAGGAAAAAGCTATGTAGGTTGAATGAGGCTTCAAAATGAACAGGAAGAAAGAAGGTCCTGGGATGGAGTGGAAGGATGTATTGAAAAGAAGAAGAAAACCCCACCTTCTGTGAGAACGGATTGGCAGACTTGTCTCCTGACAACCAGGTCATTCTGATTCCCATGCTTGCATTTTTAAACAGTTGAAAACGAGTAAAAAGAAGAATAAGATTTTGTTGCACAAAATATTTAAGTTTCAATGTCATAAATAAAGTTTTATTGACACATAGCAGTGTCCATTCATTTGCATATCATGAATGGCTGCTCTCACAATATGGCCGCAGAGTTGAACATAAAGCATAAAAGACACTGATTCTCGACAGAAACTCTGCCAACCATAGAATGAGGTCACAGACACGGGGAGAGCATGTAGCACACATCCAGGGCCGGCACCTGCACCCTAAGCAGGCTGAGGCAGGCAGCCTGCTGAGAATGTCACAGAGCTAGGGCAGGGGTTCTTCATTGGGTCACAGGCAGCAGTGGGTCCTCATTAGACAACAGCACTGTGGCTGGAGAGGCCTCACATGCAGGAATAGGTGGGACATGGGCATTGTGGATCCATGAAGGACTTGTACGTTTTGCTCACAAAGAAACTTCAAAAATTAGGAAGAAAGAGGGTTTGCCTTCTTTAGTTGTTTGAACACCACAGTAAAAAAAAAAAAGTCCAAAACAAACAACAAAACAACAAAACCAAAAACAAAACCAAAAAACACCTATGGTCTAACCTCTTGATGGACATCTTGAAAGTGTTTTCCAGGGCGTTGTCTGAAGGTCACAGGCATGAGATCCGCTCCAAGATGCTTCCAGATTTATTGAATTAGATTCTCCAAGGAAAAAGGAATGCTTATCATTAACAAGTGCCTCAGGTGATCTTGTAGTACATTAAGTTCGAGGTTTATCTAGAGGCAAATAAAACCAAAAAAAGCAAACAACAATAACTATTCAATCTTGAAAAAGAAGCTCCAATCAAATCCACTTGAAAATGTAACACAAGTTGAAAAACAAACTTATGTCTGGAAAGCCCACAGATAGGTGAATATAGCACTATGTAAAAGGTTGCCTCTGTGTTTGGAAAATCGCTGTATAGTCTGCTGGGAGTAGAAATCCGTGTAGGTACAAAGGGTCATCAAGAAGATCATACACCCTGACCAAGTTGGATTTATCCCAGGGATGCAAGGATGGTTCAACATCCACAAATCAATAAACGTAATACATTATATTAACAGACTCAAGGACAAAAACCATATGATTATCTCAATAGATGCAGAAAAGGCATTTGACAAAATCTAACACTTATTCATGATAAAAACCCTACAGAAAATTGGAATAGAAGGTCTTTATCTCAACTTGATTAAGGCTATCTATGAAAAACCAACAGCCAACATCATATTAAATGGTCAAAAACTGAAAACTTTCACGCTAATATCAGTAACAAGACAAGAATGCCCACTATCACCACTCCTGTTTAATATTGTTCTTGAAACATTAGCCACAGCAATTAGAAAAGAGAAAGAAATAAAAGGAATAAAAATAGGAAAGGAAGAAGTTAAACTGTCATTATTTGCTGATGATATGATACTTTACATTGAAGACCCAAAATACTCTGCCAAAAGACTTCTAGACTTAATTGACAGATTCAGTAGAGTAGCTGGATATAAGGTCAACACTCAAAAAACAATAGCCTCTTTATATACAAATAATAGACTCAATGAGAGAGAAATTAGGGAAACAATTCCTTTTACAATAGCACCAAAAAAAATGAAATATCTAGAAATCAATCTAACAAAGGAAGCAAAAGACCTCTACACTGAAAACTACAGCACCCTGAAAAAGGAGATTGAGGAGGATATAAGAAAATGGAAGGACGTCCATTGTTCTTGCATAGGAAGAACCAATATGGTGAAAATGGCCATACTTCCAAAACTATTATATAGGTTTAATGCAATCCCAATTGAAATTCCAATAATATCTTTCACAGAACTAGAGAAAACAATCCAAAAATTCATTTGGAAAAAGAAGAGACCTAGAATAGCAAAAGAAATTTTAGGCAACAGAGATATGGCTGGGGATATTACAATCCCCAACTTGAAATTATACTGCAAAGCTACTGTGCTAAAACAGCATGGTACTGGCAAAGAAACAGACCTGAGGATCAGTAGAATAGATTAGAAGATGCAGAAACAATTACAGTTATGCTCAACCACCTCATCTTTGACAAAGGAGCCAACCATCCTCATTGGAGGAAAGATAGCCTATTTAATAAATGGTGTTGGAAAAAGTGGATTTCAATATACCAAAGATTAAAACTTGACCCATGCCTATAACCATGCACTAAATTATGATTGAAGTGGATTAAAGATTTAAATATTAGGACAGAAACACTAAATTTGCTGCGAGATAAGTTAGGTAGAACTTTTGAAGATATTGGTATAGGAAAAGATTTTATGAATAAAACCTCAGTGGCATGGGAACTTGCAAAAAGAATCAACAACTGGGATCTCATCTTATTAAAAAGCTTCTGCACTGCAAGAGAAACCACCAACAGAGCCAAGAGACAACCTACAATGTGGGAAAAATTTTCAGCAACTGTACCTTAGACAAAGAACTACTATCTAGAATATATAAAGAAGTGAAAAAAAATCAGACCCCCCAGATTCAAAGACCCAATTCAAAAACGGGCATCTGAAATGAACAGACATTTCTCAGACAAGGAAGTAAATGCAGCAAATAAATATACGAAGAAATGTTCAACATCACTGGTTATTTGAGAGATGCAGATGAAAACAACACTGAGATTCCAACTCACCCCAGAAGGAATGGCTGCTATTAAGAAATCATCTAATAACAAATTCTGGCCTGGCTGTGGGGAAAGAGGAACTCTGCTCCACTGCTGGTGGGAGTGTAGACTGGTACAACCACTGTGGAAATTCGTATGGAGATGATACCTCAAAGAACTAGGCTTAGAGGTCCCATTTGACCCAGCTATCCCCCTACTGGGTATCTTCACTAAAGAAGTAAAAGAATCATACCACAGTGATATAAGTGCATCCACGTTTATAGCTGCACCATTCGTAACAGCAAAAGTTTGGAAACAGCCCAAGTGCCCATCAGCTCAAGACTGGATAAAGAAGGTGTGTTTTTTTAATAAAATGGAGTAGTACTCAGCCATAAAGAAGGAGAAACTAGAGACATTTATAGCTAAATGGATGCATATTGAGGCCATCCTCTTAAGTGAAATATATAGGACACACGTGTGTAAATACTGAATAGTTTCTCTAGTGTGAGAAACTGAAAAGTGTAATTAAGGATACACACAGATGAAATGGCCTAATAACATATTTCTTGGATTGTGTTTCCATTGCGTGTCACATGACTGTATTGAAATTTAAATTAGGGAGAAGTTTGGCTTATATGGAGTCTGCTAACTAACTGGAGTTTTTTTTCCAGATCATTATTTGTTCAGTGCTGGTTTGGGGGATCTTTCTGAAATAAATCACATCCTCTGGTTTCTTGTTGGTGCTTGAGATGCTTTTTTAAGTTTATGGAAAAATGTTTAAGTGCTTTTCAGTTCTGTTGTGGTTGAGTTCTACTGTATTTGAATATTATTATAGTTTTTTCCCCTCGCATTGTTCTTCTTTGAGCGGTTTTAATTTTTTGTATGTGTGTGTGTGTTTGATAATAAAGTTATTTAATAATAATAATAAAAAAAGAGATCCGTGTAGGTAGGTGAAGTTTTCTGATCGACTATAGCTGGTTAGCATAATCAAAACGATCAAATCGAGTTGGTGTGTAGAAACGAGTAGACAAAACATGAAATGATTTTATTCTTTCACTGTGAGTCCAGCTAGATTTTTAAAATTTGAAAATCAATTCAAACTCACTTCATGTGTTTTAAGTGCAAAAACACTTTAAGACTCCGCTATCACGGAATGTGTCCCCTAAACTTCATGTGCCAGAAGGAAACTGAATCCCCAGATTAGGAAGCTGGGGTCTAAGTGGGGGTGTTTGGGTCATCGGGGCTCTGTCCTCACATGTGGGACAATGAGGCTATGAAAGAGCTTACGCAAGTGTGACTTCTCTCCTCTCTTCTGCTGTGTCCCCATCACCTTCTACCCCACGAGGGTGAACAAGAGACTCCTCACTAGCTGCTGGTACCTTGGTCTTGGACCTCCTGGCAAGGAGCAGTAAATTCCTACGAGCAGTAAATTTCTGTCCTCTGTAAAGTACCAGTCTTAGGTATTCTGCTGTGCAGCCCAGACAGCCCCAGATAGACAGCCCTGAAAGGATTCATGTTGCATGGCCAGCTCGAGCTTCCCACAGGACAGAAATAACTTTGCAATTATTGCATAACTACCATAAGTCTTTGATGACAGCTAGTAAGACAGGGAGGAAAGGAATCAAATGGTTATTTCTGTGGCTGAGGAAATTGTGATTGTGATAGCTAAGAAAATCACAAGATAGTGCTCCATTAACCTGCTTAGAATAAAAGGGTGATTTCACGTTAGAATAAAATCCTAGGGTATATCTTTTCGTCAGGGTGGATGAAGTGTATGTGGTTAGGGCTCTGAACTCCATGGAAGGGAAGCGTCATGGGGAAGCAATACTGGAATCTTCAACTTCACTGCAATTAGAATCTGCTACCATTGCTTTTAGTGAATGACACAGAGTTAGGAATGGTGAAGGCCAGGGAAGTGGCAAAGATGGGGAGAAGAGCTATGATTGATTAGGAAATTAAAACTGACCTTGCAAATTGGATAATACAGGTAAGCAGGCCTTCTTCGTTACACAACACTAGCTAGAATTTTCCCTGAGTTGGACAGCAGTTCTCAGAAAATCCTGGGACAAAAATCAATAGCCAGAGGTAAAAGAAAGGCATGTGCTATGGGCTGATTGCAAAGCAACAATTAAAGCTGACTTGCTGGTTACCTGGGGTTGGCCATATTTACCTTGGTTGTACTGAATCTCAATTCTTAAAAAAAGGAGGAAAGATATACCTTCTAGTGGACCGCCAGAATATTAACAAATGATGATAACAGTTACCATGTACAACTGCTCTGCTATATGCCAGATATTGTGCTAAAAACTTTACACACATTTTCTCATGGATTTCTGCCATCACTTTATGAGGGTGGTACTATTATTATATCTAATATTTTCAGGTGGGGAATTAGGGTCAGAACCTTGCTTAAGTTTATACTGGGTACTAATAACAGACTTTGAATTCAGTTCTGATTCTGCATCTTCTTCAAACCACTAGGCTAAGTGATTATTGAGATATCTTGAAAATCCTCTGAAATTCTCAACAGAGTTAACATTTCTCTTTGGACCCTTAAATTCTGTCCTCCAATTCTTGCTCAATATATACAGGAAAATTTCATGTTCCCGATACTCTATTAGCCCAAATGGTAGTGTTTGGCACCTCTGTGCATCTGTAGAGTCTTTACAGTGAAGGGTTGAACATCTGTCAAGCCTACTGGGGAATATACAGGTCCACTGTTTGTGCCTTTAAGAAGAATTTTACAGGCCAGGGATTTAGCCCAGTGGTTTCGCCGCCTGCTGCGCAAGTGCAAGGACCTGAGTTCAATCCTCAGTACCAAAAAAAAAAAGAATCTTACAAATGTATTATGAGGAATAATTACACAAATGGGGAATAATACAAAAGAATTATATGATCAAGAACTGAAGTAAGTCATAGATGGCTTGAGTAGTTCATGTACAGACACGTTGCTCTGTTTCAAACATATAGACATCCAGTACCAGAGAAGAAAACCAGAAAGGCATAGCTGAACTGTACTAAAAGAAAACAAACTGCTGGGCATGGTGGCACACACCTGTGCTCCCAGCATTCTGGGAGGCTGAAGCAGAAGGGTGGCAATTCCAAGCTCCATTCAGTGACTTG